TATAGTAGAACCTAATTTACATGTACTATTACCACACCCTGGACACTCTCAGAATGAAGATAAATTTAAACCTGACATAAAAGATTTTTTGTCTTTTATTTAGTTCCTATTTTCGACTGTTTTTTGCATATCATACTTGTTATCTTTCCTTCATATTTCTTATTTGTTTTTACTATGCTGAAGCAATTAATTAAAGGATATTGCTAAATATAGTCGTAATAGTAGGTGTATTTATGGAAAGAACAATCCAATCAAATTCATTCCAATTTTGCACTCATTCTCGTTTCATATGTTCCTGTTTTGAGTCAGCACACATGTTTTATGATGTACTTAGATATACATGTGTTTGGACTAGTCAGTATAAATAAAAAGTGTTCATTATTTGGACTATAATACTATTCTTTAAAGATCACCGGTCATATTCCAAAGTCTCATTTTGTTGTTTTTTTTTTGTTTTTTTTTTTGTTTTTTTTTGTTTTTTTTACGTCAGATTTGTACTGTATGATTAAAAGTATAAAACGCTGTTTTATCCCTTTGCGGCGATTTCCCACCTATAGAAGACGACAACCAGAAATGATGTACATTTATCCCCACATCACGAAGTACATGCTTCTTGTTGTCGAAAAATAAAAGATTATAAACTATGGATAGGCAACATTTAGATGAAACTAATGAGAACTAATTTGCTCTTCAGCTTTATGTAGATTTACGTACGCGACGCAATAGCCTTTGTCGCTTTCAAAAACCATTCCGTAGTTTTTAATTGTTTTGAAAATTCTCGTTAATACAGGTAAGAAGGGATCAGTGTTGCGACTGCATAAAAAAATCGGCACACATAAAAAAATCCTCCAAAAAAACCTCGCCTTTTTATGTCGGCCGACTTCATAAAAAGATCGGCACACTTAAATGATACCAAAGTCCGTTTCCGGAGTTGGTTTGCCTTGTCACATTATGACCTTTTTATCTGATATCATGTTGGCAAGTTTAAGCAAGGATTTTATTGCTTGTTGCCAGTTGTGTTTTCCCTGGCTTCTATCTGTTTTCCAGGCGTAATCATAATTGATGTTTGGAGGGTAAATAGTATACAAAACAACAATGTTATTTAAAAACACTTTTGTAAAACATGCGAGCGAAAATATCATTTGCACTCACAGTGGGTGTATTTTAAAATAACGTTTTTTCATTTGTGAGATTTCGTCGTATAGTTAAACTGGATACAATACAATATTGGTCAATTTGCACCATGTAACTTACCATGCGTGAATGACAGGTGCCTTCAAGCATGTGTGTTATATTCCCGTCTCTTTTGTGATTGTGTTATTTGGCATAAGAGATACACATTATAGTAAGAATCCATACTCATGCCGGCATCCACTACATTTGTGAATTTCGTGGATATATTTATATCTTTAATAAATTTCACATTTTGAAAAAAAACGAAGGAATAAATGATAACAATGCATGGTTATCTTCGCTCATTTTGTTTTCAAATAGATATATGTTTATCAATATTTTTACCGCGCAAAGTGGGATGGGGGAACAAATTCATTGCAAAATTATTTCCTTTTTATTTGTATGGAATAATGAAGAAATTATGACTAATGATTTTGACAAATAACAACATGATTTTAATTTATGAACACACACTAGACAATTTGAAAAATAAAAACAAATAATTAATTTAAATGGTAAGAGCCTCATATTGCATCAACACTGACAAAACGCTCAACATTACTCTCTCTCTCTCTCTCTCTCTCTCTCTCTCTCTCTCTCTCTCTCTCTCTCTCTCTCTCTCTCTCTCTCGTGTATATTATATGCATCGGTGTTGCAACGTGAAGCCTAAAATTAAACATATTTGTTATAATATCTTTTATATACTGCCCTAAGAAAAATGTATACGTATTCTGAAGAATATTATCTGTTAAGTATTTTTGTTTTAAAAATTTCATATTCAACATTTGATCGGAAGACTAAAACTGCTAATGTCATTGTCTATGTGCATATATCTCTTTTAGCATAAATAAATGTATGTAAATAGTTTAATTAGAACGAGCAAGATATGCCAGTTTGTGTATAAGTTAAGCCAAATGGTCTTTCGAATTGGGAAGAATTGTCTTGCACTGAATTGTCTTTGTGCCAAATGGACAATAATCCGGCATAACAAAATACGACCTTCCCATCCCTCATCCTATTCGATCCCACAGCTTTAATCCACTTTTTTCTTGTAAACAGTGTCTTTCGGAAAAAGAAAGAACCTTTTCCCCATCATCACTGTTTTGGTTACATTCATATACAACATAGTGCACCGTCTTGCTATACAAAAGCACGATCGGAGCATGCATCACATAGACATTTACGTGGGGAAATTAAAAACTTAAATGGCTAGGATGAACAGAAGGGATAAACATATGCCGTATCCATTTTTAGGCGTTCGGAAACTACCGATTGTTAAAAGAGATTGCCGAATCATTATTTCATTTAATAAACCAGTATAAATAAACATTTTTATGGTGTGTATACATAACAAGTGTGTTTTTATTTATCACTATAATAATATCACACGTTTGTGGACAGTGACCATTAACTATTGTAAATTCTTAAATGGAGTTTTCGACAAATCCATGTTGATAGCATCACAATTTGTGGCGGACCAGTACATTTCTAGTTTTGAAATTTCTACTGAACGGATAATTCATTTGGACTTTCACGGATCTTTTATATGGATTAATTTGTACTGGCTTCATAGTACTTTCAAGTTCATTTATATACATTTTAATTTATAACGTTGATAATTAAATTATTTGTTAAGATTTTTTTTATAAAACTTCATGGTTTTGCTTCTTTCCGTTAATGTGTGTGTGTGTGTGCGTGCGCGTATGTGTGTGTGTTTGTACGTGTTTGATTTTTTCTAAATGTAGTTTTAACAAGCTTTCAGTCATATCGCTACAAACAAAACCGTGACAGATTACAGTGATTTCTAGCACCGGACATCATGCCGCAGACATGTAGCATAATGTCCCACGCAATCACATATCCTGACACCAAGCCGACCATTTTATATATATATATATATATATATATATATATATATATATATATATATATATATATATATATATATATATATATATATATATATATATATATATATATATATATATATATATATATATATGTCTTTGGTATGACTTGGGCAGGTTTTGAACCCGCAATCTCCCACATCTGAGGAGGACGCTCTAATCACTCGGCAACTGGAGCTGGCCAACTTTGTGAGTAGCTACACAAATTGGCATCTGGTCCAGGACACCAAGTTTAGAAATATGTCAGAGAAATATGCATTTCTTTATTAAAATTTATATTTTCTTTAGCTTGGAATTTGATTACTGTCACCAAGGGTTATGAGTTTTACTTCCGGATCAACTAAGAAAGGGATATATTTGATTGCGGAATTGCAGCTAAATAAAATTGAATTAGAGTAAAGAAATTTTAACTTTTACATACAAAGGATATTAATGCAGGAAAAGAAAGAAAGAGACATATGCAAATACAAAAAGAACAATGACGGATTTAAGAGAGGAAAACGGAAATGCAGTTTCAAATGCAAAAAGAAAGAAAGCAAATGCAGTGTAAATGAAGTATCCAACGCAAAGAAAAGAAAAAAGATGGAAATGCAATTGGAATTTTAAAACTAATTAGAACTCGCAAGCACAAAATTCTCCCCAAATCGCTTAGGTCTTGATGTTATCAGAAATATTAAAACAGATCTTTCTACTCAGTAAAAAGAAGTAGATCAATAATTATGCATATTTAATAAATTGTTACTAGTATGAAATTGCCAAGTGAGCACTCGACTTTGTTAATAAAGAGTGTACTTAATGGTAAAAGCTTTCAGGAATATTTTGGACTCACTTCATAATATATTAGTGTCTCTCATTTTTACATGTATAAATTTGTAATGTTTTACAATATGTTTTGATGTTGTTTCATTTTTTGTTGCTTTCTCTGTGACCATTGTTTATATATATATATATATATATATATATATATATATATATATATATATATATATATATATATATATATATATATATATATATATATATATATATATATATATATATATATATATATATTCAAAGTTTTTTATTCCTACATTTTCACATGTGAACAATAAATAGCCTTATATATTCACATATGGAAAAAGCAAGATATCCCATCAAACCATGCGACACTTCATTGTGTCTGCCCACAAAAATTGTACCTGTTTAAATATAAACGAGAACTTTGTGAGCTAGAACAAAAAAAAATAAACTGCGCCACATTACAGATACTAGAAATCAATCTTTGTTGAAATTTTACCACGCAGCTTGCATAGCTCTGAAGTTATTTCCCTTTAATTCCTTGACAACAACGATAAACCCGCTATGATGCATTAGTGAATCATACTAGGTATCACGGTACCAATTGGTTTTCCATAGACCTTATTGTTAATGTTTTGTAAAATAAATATACTTTCCATCCTACTTCAACATGAATATATATATATATATATATATATATATATATATATATATATATATATATATATATATATATATATATATATATATATATATATATATATATATATATTGTGTATATGTGTGTGTGTGATATTATTGTTGTATATATTTATTGATACCAAAATCTATATATTTTGAAACGCTTAAATATCGCATTTTTGGTACCACACAATAAAGTATATCCTGTATAAACGCAGGATATGATGTGATTATCATTTTTAACGAGCTTTTATCAACTTTTCAGTCATATCGCTACGATACCTACAGTGTGGCAGTTTATTGTGATGTTTAGCACTGGGGCATCATAACACAGACATGTAGCGTGAAGTCCCACTCAGTCACATTTTCCTGACACCAGGCCGACCATTTCTAATGCCAACCACGCTGCTAAGCGTCAAGCAAGACAGCTGTTAGTACTAGTTTTGCAAGTCTTTGATATGATTCCACCTGGGTCGAACCCACGACCTCCCGCATCCGAGGCGGACGCTGTAACCACTAGGCCACCTGAGCGATGTTATATTCTTTACTTCCCCAGTGTGACAATAGACCCGCCATATTGTTACTTAAACAATAATGGATATAGTTTATTGAAATTATTAATCTTGTGAAATGTTTGGTTTTCTTTTATGACATGCATTGTGTATTATATCGTGTGAATCCGAGGATGGAGGGAAAAGAGGAAAATTAGAAGAAATCACCCGTGTCCTCGAAACTTCATTACCTTTAATGTTTTTTTTTTTTTCTGCTCTGCGTGCTTTAGGACATGTTAAAAATGAAAAGGGCAACGGATATATTTGCCCGGATTGCGATGGTTTTGTAGAGTGCATGCAAAACACTTGCAGAACCTACCTTGTGGTTGTTTTTAGATGGATAGAAAATTTTATGTGTATAGAAAAGGCCGACGCTCTTCTATCACGAACATTTAAGACACTTTGCAATAGAACTTTCTATCACGCACAATTAAGACACTTAGCAATAGATAGAATGCCGGCGTCTTTTCAATAAGAACTTTGCTTAATTAATATTTTTTAAAAATAAATTTGGTATGTTTATTTTCAATTTCTATTTTACTTTTGATAATGAAATCATGGACATCTTTGTATTAAAACTAATATTTCTTTGGTTAAATAAGAATGTGTGCAAGAACATAAGTATGTCTTTGCAGTTACTGTCTGTGTCATTGTAATCTCTCTCTCTCTCTCTTCTTCTTCTTCTTCTTCTTCTTCTTCTTCTTCTTCTTCTTCTTCTTCTTCTTCTTCTTCTTCTTCTTCGACTGTTGTGCAATGGCCTTTGCTAATGAAACATTACAGATATTTTAAAAATGTTATAATTTATCAAAACTAATATAAGTACACTTGTTACGTAATACCGGTAGTGAAACTCAATAGAGGCGGCTTTGAATTAAAATAAAAAAATGTATTTTATTAGCCCGTTCACTATTTATGAGTAGAAAATTTATGATAAATAACTATAGAAGTATCAATGGAAAGGAATACTTATTTCACTCTCATATTTGTGAAGCTTATAGCCGAATGTAGATTATTAAGTTCCTGGAAGACAATTTCAGTAGATATATGCTCACTCCAAATTATAATACAGTTTTCAAATACTTCCTTCTTGTTCTTTCTAAACTAATTCCAATTTTTTTTTCGTGTTTCTCAGTCGTTATGTAAAAAATTGCATCTTCTAAATATCAGAAGACAAATCATAGCATAGGATGGTGCCTTTTTGGTGCCTATAACCTTGACATTATTCTAATTATCTCATGACAACTTTCGCGTAAGTTGGTGCCATTTTGGTGTTCATGTGTAGGCAAAGGAAGATTAAGTTGGTACCATTTTGGTGCCTATAACCTTGACTTTTTCTAAATATCTGACGAGAAACGTAGGGTAAGTTGGTATATTCTGGTGTCCCTAGCAAGACAAAGGAAGCGTAAGTTGATGCAATTTTGGTGCCCATAACCTTGATTTTCTTCTAAATATCCCACGACAAAGACAGGATAGGTTGGTGCCATTTAGGTTCTAAATATCCAACGAGAAACGTAAGGCAAGTTAGTGCCATTTAAGTTCTATATATCGCACGACAAACGTAAGGTAAGTTGTAAGTTGGTGCCATTTAATTGTCCATTGCCATGACTTACACCTGTATGTAGCAATGTTCATTTCCGTTCAAGAACCAGTTTAAGAGACTATAAATTCATGATGATTCGTGAATCTAAGCCGTCACATTTCTCTTATATGGAGAAAAGTTGTGCTTTTGGTTGTTGTTGTTTTCTTAAAGTCATACTCCAGCCATAAAATAAATTGCATATGAGTCAAACACTCTCATTGGATAAGAAGATGTCATGATAAATAAGAGCAGTGAGATAACTACCGATACAGAAATCATATGGTTTATACTTAATAAATAAGGATCACAAAAGCTTCAAATATGAAAAAGGCATATTAAGATATTCAAACTCGATTTCTTTATTATTTTGCTTACAAAATATGCTCAACATTTGCATTATATTTTATTTCATATTTAAAGTTAATATTTCAAAGTTTTCAAACAAATGCAATCTTATTTCGTAATCAACTCTAGTAGCCAAACCTCCCTAAAAAATTCACACTCAAACAGGTTTTTAAATTCTCCATCCCAAACAGTATTCTGACTTTCGATAATTCGCTTTTTTCATATCGTATTTTATTTCATCCACCAGTAACTGACATCCTTAATTTGACGATTGTTATTTAATTGATTATTTGTTAACTGAAAGTCAGTTTTGGTTTGGTTTTTTAAATTTTGTCTTCTAGACAATTGTTCTAAAACAATTTAATAAATCTTGTTTGTGTTGACCTAAGAGGACAGTTTTAAAATAATTTCTTGTGGCACTGCAGTTATAAGTTCTATTTTTAAACTCGCTTCATTTCTTCCTTTGAAGAACTCTCTTAATAAATGTTATCCCTTTGTGGTCACAAAGGCTACAAACAATATCCAAACACCTCATTATATACACCATACTATGATTGAACTCCTTTTTCCTTTCCATTTATGACTGATTGCCAACTATATACCATACTATGATTGAACTTTTTTCCTTTCCATTTATGACTGATTGCCAACTATATACCATACTATGATTGAACTTTTTTCCTTTCCATTGATAACTAATTGCCAACTATATATCATACTATGATTGAACTATTTTTCCTTTGCATTGATGACTGATTGCCAACTATATACCATACTATGATTGAACATTTTTTCCTTTCCATTGATGACTGATTGCCAACTATATATCATACTATGATTGAACTTCTTTATCCTTTCCATTGATGACTGATTGCCAACTATATACCATAATATAATTGAACTTCTTTTTCCTTTCCATTGATGACTGATTGCCAACTATATACCATACTATGTTTGAACTGTTTTTCCTTTCCATTGACGACTGATCGCCAACTATATACCTTAATATGTTTGAACTATTTTACTTTCCATTAATGACTGATTGCCAACTATATACCATACTATGATTGAACTGCTTTTTCCTTTCCATTGATGACTAATTTCCAACTATATACCATACTATGATTGAACTTTTTTTTCCTTTCCATTGATGACTGATTGCCAACTATATACCATACTATGATTGAACTGCTTTTTCCTTTCCATTGATGACTGATTGCCAACTATATACCATACTATGTTTGATTTTTTTCCTTTCCATTGATGACTGATTGCCAACTATATACCATACTATGTTTGAATTTTTTCCTTTCCATTGATGACTGATTGCCAACTATATACCATATTATGTTTGATTTTTTTCCCCTTTCCATTGAGGACTGATTGCCAACTATATACCATACTATGTCTGATTTTTTTCCTTTCCATTGATGACTGATTGCCAACTATATACCATAATATGTTTGATTTTTTTTCCTTCCATTGATGACTAATTGCCAACTATATACCATAATATGTCTGAATTTTGTCCTGTCCATTGATGATTGATTGCCAACTATATACCATACTATGTTTGAGTTTTTTTCCTTCCATTGATGACTAATTGCCAACTATATACCATACTATGATTGATTTCTTTTCCTTTGCATGGATGACTGATTGCCAACTATATACCATACTATGTTTGATTCTTTTTCCCTTTGCATTGATGACTGATTGCCAAAAGTAATCATACACACATTGACAGTAATGGATGCTGGCCTAAAAATATAATAAAACACATTGACTGGAGTACGTTTTCGTAAATTTGTTATTTTTGTTAGACATATTCTTTGTCTTATTGTAATTCTATTATTAAATTATGACTGCCAAATATAGATCTACTGAATCCAGTATGAGTACCAACTTTGTGCCTGGTTTCAAATATTTTATGATGCTCTAAAAAGGAAAGATATTTACTCCATAGTAAGGTTTAAATCCGTTTTATTTACTGAAATTATTTGGCCTTAATATATGATAATAATTCATTAAAATTAGGGGGATCTTTATTAGCGCATAATTGTTATTATTTTCTTCTTCTCGTCCTCCCAATGTTGTAGAAATCCGTTAAGCTTTTGAGCTGTAGCACGTTTTGCTTTACCGTGTATAGAAATCGCTAAAATATGAATGTAGATCAACACTTTGAAATCTTTGATGAGTATTAGGGATACCACGTTCGACAAAGTATAATGACATAGAGCTTAAATACTATAAGTGGATTCATTCACATCTCCATCTTTATCACACTTTGTATTGAATACTAAAAGACTACAACATACACAAATATCAAGGAGTTTTGGTCCCTGCTAATTCAAACGTTTACCTTGACCAGCACGCTTGTGTGATTAATACTTTTGAATTCAAGTAAGAAACTTCTTAAAAGAAATATTTGTATTTTTAAAATCATGATAATCAACCAGAAAGGTATCAACCGCTGTACATTTTTTCTTAGTGGGTGTTCTTCCATTCATATCTTCTAATGAAAACACATTCTTGTGTGAAATACACATCGATGTGACTTCTACATCAAATATTTCGATAATCATCAGCAAACAATATCCAATTTTCTATAGGAAAATATAAAGAAATACCTAAATTCGAAATCATTGATGAAATTAAATTTTGATAGTTTTAACCATATTATTTAGTTACTTGATAAATGTGCAAAACGTAATAGAACAATACATCTAATTTTATATGAACACCCCAATACGACTTGATTTTCCAAGATTGCTTGCTCATTGTTTGATGAATAGAGGCCATTTCCTGGCAAGGAAATCATGTCCACATCATCAAGTGTGGTTTCAATGACACATAAATATTGTAATTTTGAAAAATATCAAAAATGAAATCGCCTTTTCAATCCAAACACATTAAAAAAATATTTTTCTTTTGAAATTTCGGGAAAAAGTGGTATTCATTTTTTGCTTATTACATAATGCTTTTAATTTATATGTTATCATTATTATACATGTTATTATTGTTATAAATTTCTGTATTGTTTGTAAGTGC